AGTCCAAAGATTGACATGTTCAAGAAAATCTTTTAATTTTGCGCCGTCTCCGAAAAAGTTGAAATGTATTTAATATACTACCTAACGAGTAAATATGTTTCATTCATATCTGTTACGTAATTGTATGATTGAATGAAATAGAAATTACTTCATTAGGAAATAAAAATTATTTTATACTTTTTAGTGCATTTCGAAGTCGGCGTGTTCTTTTTCTTAAAATTATTTTATTTCACGCTTTTTAGTGGAATGGGGAGAACTGTATAGGATACTGTGAGACAGCTCTTCCGGGCTTTTTTTTGTCTGCGTAAATGCCATGAACATAATTAAGTAAAAGTTAATAACAATTTTTCGCTAATATCTCGAAAACTAAAGCTTTCCGTCAATTATGCGTAAGGAAAATGTTGTCCAGAATCATGCTCCTGACAACATATTAAAAGGACATTAAAATCGTTCGAAGTTGATTTCAAAAGTTAACAACAATTTTTCGCTAATATCTCGAAAACTAAAGCTTTTCGCGAAATTTGTATATGAACAAAATTGTTCAGAATCATGTCCGTGATAAGATATTAAAAGCGCACTAAAATCGAGAAAAGTTTATTTCAAAAATTGCCGGTTGTCTTGCAATAACAATACTTTGCAATTAAAAAATGGAAAATTTTTGGATAATGGTACCAATGGGGAGTCAGAACCTACCAGATGCAAAAGGTTTCGTTCCGATCGGTCCACCCAGCTAGGCGTAATCGAAGAACATACATAGAAAAAAAAAAAAAAAAAAAAAAAATACTGATCAAACTGAGTAACCTCCTCCTTTTTCGAAGTCGGTTAAAAATAACTTCAATTACTTTCTTTGCGGTTGTTCGAATTACAGCTTTTTTAAAGCACGTCATTCAAAAACTAACCATAAGTATATTGATCGCTCGGAAATTTCTTTACTTGTGGAACTTGGTTCATGTAAAACTTTTTTTATTCTTATTAACTCTTTTACTATAGAATATTAAAATATTGGAATTTAGAAATTTTTGAACCTTGTAATTTACTCTCACAATTTTGAAATTATTTGAAAAATTGGCGACGCACAATGCTTGAGTTTTCAATTTTTGTTTCGCTTATTTTCGAAATATTGATCAACTTGATCAATGACAACCATAATATTATTAACATTGTCAAAATGTCGATAATGAATATAATAATTACACAGATACTGTTTTGATTTGCGTTGTCAAATACCACTTAGGAAGTGAATGCATTGTCAACAAATATTGAAAGTAAAAGGTACAAGCAATTTGTCAATAAACATTGGCAACACCGAAAGCATAAGTATGTTCGCTTGGAAAGCCCTTTAGTTACAGAACTTGGTTTACGCAAAACCTTTTTTATTCTTATTAACTCTTTTACTTTAATCTACATCCATAAATGTATTTCTTATTAAGTCATGTACAAACGTAAGAAAATCATTAATTATCCAGTTAACATATAAACATGAATAGAATAATTTCTTTTGTAAAATTATTTATTTCCAATCAGATATCATTCAACTGTAATATTTATTCATTTTTCTTGTTTTTCAATTTGCATTGCATGTCCGCCATTTTGAAATGTACCGACGCACAATTTAATTTAAAAGTTAATTGTTTGATTAATGCAATTTTCATTTGTAAACCTTATTTCATCTGAATCTACTTAAATAACGAATAAAAGTATATCTAATTAATTTTTCTTGGTTATCATTTGAACATGACTGCCTTTGAGGCTCTACGTTGAATATTACAGTACGAGAAATCCGCCTCCGTAGTTAAAGGTTTTAAGCACTTTGCATAGAATAACTATATTCAAATTACAATTGAATTAAGCAACACTGGACACTTGACAGTTTCTGTGAAATTAGAGGGCCTGGTCCACCTTATTTATAGACCTCATGAATTTCGAAATCCCGAAATTATTCAAACTTTGTACAATTATAAAGTACGCTAAGAGTAATAATTTTGTAAAATAAAGAAGTAATTTTCTATTTTAGAGTAAATAATTTTATTTGACTTAAATTTGAATTTAATTATGAACTTCATCTAGATTATAGTTATCACCATAAACGAATTACCAAAATGTTCTTAATCTGATAAGATATGCAGGAAGTGTTGAATTATGTTCTTCTGGATTATGATATCGATATTATATTTACAGTATTGTATTACAGAAAGAAACATCATACTCTTATATGATATAAATCGATCGAATGTGACATAGCACATTTTAAACTTATCTTTGATTAAATGATTAGCATCATTTGTGTCAAAATTTGAAGAGACATAACAAGCAACATGACTCTTCATTTACGGTAAATGATGTACTGATTATAAAAGAATTAAACATTTTTTGGCTAGTAGAGTGCTACGTTAATATAATTATATTTCTGGTGAAAATGACATGTAAATTATTTGAACAAATTTATTTAATATTTCGTAATTGAAGAAATAATTGTTTATAAAACAATTAAACATTTTTTAGCTAGTAGGGTACCAAGTACGAAGTTAATATAATTATACTTCTAGAGAAATTGACGTGTAAATTATTTGAAAAAATTTTATTTAATATTTCTTAATTGAAGAAATAATTGTCTATGAAACAATTAAACATTTTTTAGCTAGTAGGGTACCAAGTACGAAATTAATATAATTATACTTCTACAGAGAATGACTTGTAAATCATTCGAAAAAAATTTATTTAATATTTCCTAATTGAAAAAATAATTGTCTATAAATAATATTAATTTCAATATTTTTATTTAATATTAAAATATTTTATATACTATCTTGCACTATATTGCCATAGTTTATGTTGGAGACTCGCATTATATTGCCACGTTTCAGGCAAATCCCTTTTAATATAATATAAGGCAATGTACAAAATACTTCTTTGGATTATTGAACGTCAATTTGTCGTTATCTGAAAACTTTGTTTGTAAGTTATAATTAATATGATTCTTTCAGAGATAAGTTCTTTATTTGATTGATTAAGCATATCATATCTTTCTGCGCTTCCTGTTTCAATTTTGAACTCGAGTCACGTTTCGATAATTCATATTTTTATCTACATTTTGTTTTAGCAGATTATAGTAAATGATTTAATTTATATGATCTTTTCTACATTCGAACGATGAGTAAGTTTTTCATTAATTTCATTTTTTATTTTGATTATTCAATTAAAATAATAACACATTTAATATTTATTAATAGCTTAACAGAAATATGATTAAATATTTTTCGTTTATTCTTAAGCTAATAAATAATATTATAATAATAATTTAATAATTTTATATTATAATAAATAATATTATAATTATAATTTACATTGCTTTCATTAGATTACAAGAATATAAATTCTTTCTGTTTAAACTACGTGTTTTGCTATATCTTAAATAAATAAATAAAATAGTCATTTGTATTTGGCGCCTGTTTATAATGCAATCATAACTTCCTAATTGCGCATACCAATATGCGCAATTGTATACTGAACCTACTTCGTATACCTTCACTATTCATTATTCATTCTATGAAGACGATTTTAGATCTTTTATTTCTTTTAATATTTTTTTTTATTTCGCTAAAATGTAGTAGAAATTTTACCATAGAGTATAGGGAAATTTTGAAATGAATATATTAACACTAAAACTATCAACCAGTCAAAACGACTGGTTTCAGATTTCCCATTTTATAGTACAAAATTTTATTATCATAATTTTATAGAAATGTCTGTCATGTTTTGTTGAGGTAAAAACTAGTTTTATATGTTACTTGATGCTTTAGTATGTGTTTATTTCCCTTTTTATTTTATTTTTCATTTTTCGATAAACGAGTATTTAATGTCGGTAGTTCTAGTGTTACGTTACTGCTACAAAGATTAGAAACAAATTACGATGATAGAACAAAATTTGGAAGACCGGAAACTATCACTGATTTAAAATATGTATCATTCTGTTGCAGGCTGCTTCTCACAGTGATTGCCGTGGTAGTGATTATAATTTCACTCTTAGTGTGTTGCGTATCATGTTTGTGCTGTAGTTGCTGTCCATGGTATCGTAGACGTCACCGAGGAACAGTTTATGGAAGTAAGAATATTTTTCTATAATTATGTCTCGTTATTTGACAGAATATTTTCGTGGCTGTCATCGATTTATTTTCTTGCGTTCTTGCATATTACATGTTGAATATTGACACATCAAAAGTCTGGCACAAAAGGATATAAAATAACACACTTTATATTAACTTGATGCTTAAGCTTTTCTAAAAATAACTACGTATTTCGTACAAAACTGGTTATAGTTTCCGTAAGCAATAATCGATTTTGGAATCAGAGTTTCGAATAATCAAGTTTAGAATTTAATTGGGCAATTATTAACAATTAACATGTACTGCGTGATTAAATTTCCATTCATTAAGAACTAAATTGTAATTGTTATTGAGTGACCGTCCAGCGGAGAATTAGAATTCGATTTAATTTAATTATTTCATGTATAGGTATAAATTAATTTTAATCTTTAATTGAGATTTCATCAAATTGATAACTACAATTTAGTTTTTAATTAAGAATTCTTAACTACAATATTCTTGTTGAGAATTCAAATTTAATTTCTTAATTTCGATGGTTAAACTAACTACTACTAATTTTGATTTATAACTAAAACAAGATTTTTTGGAATTATACTGAAGCTGTTTGATACTTAATGAAAATATTTACAGATATTTCTATAAAAGTATCAAAACTTAACTCTCTACAAAAAATACCCATTTGATAATTTACGAAAATGTCAAGTTATTTGTTATGTTACAAAATTGTCGATACTCGTATAATACTTTACAAAGTAACATTTATTTACTATTTGAAATATTTCAATAAAAATAATTTCGAATTTCTATACCAAGATATGAGTATCAATAATTTCATTAAGTAACAAACAAGTTATGGATATCTTCATATAGTATCAAACAGGTATTAATTTAAGATATTTATATTAACTTGGTATCACTTCAACATATATCTAACTGCAATTTCGATATTGACATCTTTCATTCAGTACTTTGATATCGAATTTTTTGCATGTTCAATTTTTATATATCAATATCAATCTAATCATTACAGTCATTCATACATTTATACATTCTGAATTCCAAATATTCGATTCCTGAGGCGACTTCGCCCGACTTTTACCGACTCAATCCGAAGCATGAATCTTTCCGTATATCCTCTATTCTATCGTTTATTTCTTTAAGCGGGATATTTTGTTCATTTTAAATTTATGTCCAATTTAGTTGCTTTAGAAATAGTTAAAATGTAAAGTTACTCACGAAAGTCTTTATACACGCTAAACAGAGTTTGGATGAAACATTTTGACTAATATAAATAATAACTTGTTGGAATAACATATTTATTTGTTAACCTATAAGATAGAAATAGCCTGAACTAAGGTATTTAGAATATATCTCATGTCTCAGAACAATAAAAAAGTACATGCATAAAACACAATATAATTAATAAAAAAAACTCTTACACGTCCATATAGAATTCTATTAAACTTCCCAAATTATCCACAGAAATATTTTTATTTATAAGATTCATTATTTCCCTGTCTTTATTTGTTCAATATTAGTATAGATTAATAGAGTTTATTAGGAAATAGTTAGTGTTACTTATTACAATTATTATTTATTTTAGTTAAAATACTACGTATGAGGTTTACAAAGACTTTCATGAATGACTGAATATTGAAAAAATTGATTCTAAATAAAAACTTATGTTGTCGAGTAAAAAGCAGTATCTAATTCCAAGATGTAATTTTTTGTAGGACCACCCATGGCCTGAACCCATTTCACCACATCTTCTAACTTCCTGACATAATGAAACTTATAACTGTGTGTCAGGGCACAAATATTTTTTAAAAATATTAATTCTCAATCTGCTTTTTATATATTATTCTATACATATTCTTCTACACATTTTATATACTATTTTTGCATAGTACCTTACTGCTTCCATTGTTATTATGCATTGTATATTATTATAAGGCAATAACAGTAACAATGTTATAAACATTCATAGTATATACAAGCACATAAACGGTACACTGTTCACTTTTTATAAATCATAACAAACTAAAATGTATGATTCTACAAATTCTATTTAGATATTTTATTATTCAGAAGCTTAATGCGGTCAGTAGATTGACAATATTAGAGTATTTACAATAACAGTATTCAAAGAGAAACAATGTTTCTATAACTCACATGCTTGCCTTTGATCCTTTGCATTTTAAATTTAATTACAAAATAAAATTCTTAAGTAAGCAAAGGATAATCAACATTCGATTATTAATTATTTATATTCTTTTTTATGAAAATTTTTTTATATTATTTGTACTGTGTGTAAGAAACATAGATTGATAAGTTAAAACATTCCAAAAGAAAAAATGTCACTTAATATATTTTGCGTTTAATTAAAAATATAAAGATTTTCAGTATAATATATGTATTTAAATATGCATCTAAATATCTAAAGATAAAGAGTAATGATTGCTTCCTAAATACATGTTGAAATTTTATATTTGTAGATTCATAGTCTATTTTATTGGTATAAATACATGACAGTTATTTATTTTTTTATATGTATTAACATATGCACAGAAAGTATTTTGTTAATTTCGTTTGTGATGTGTTCCATATTAATGAATCAGCTACTGATATTTAATAAAATGTAACTTTATATATTTAAGATAGTCATTGTTGTTAACATATGGATAAGCGCTTCCCATTGTAACATTATGTAATAAATATTTTTGTGATCTATCAGGTGTGGACAAACACTTTCCTTCCACCAGCGCATTGAAAGCAGTAGAATTTTATATTTTACAATTCCATTATTATTATTACACATTTTAAAATATATGTATTAAAATAAAATACATATTTCTCTTAAGGAATATTAAAGAAAAATGTTATAACTATTGGATGTAGAAAAGCGAATTTGTAATACATTGAGAGTCACAGTAAAATTAGTTACGTATAATAAGATTATAATAATGATTATTTAGTTTAAGGAAGGTCTGAATTCGATCTTGCTCATATGAACTGTGTACATTATGACATTATTCCAAGAAAGATAATATAACGATGCTAAACGAGAGTGAGGTTCTCAATCCGCATGCGCAAATGGCCACACAAAGAAAATGGACCACAGGCGTCCAAGAAAGCTGTTTCCAATATGAATTAGCACGTTATTTATCGCTTATAAATGAAGAAAATCGTTTTACAACTCGTTAATAATGTAAAAATGCCCAGCTAGTGGTCGCAGATTCGGAAGTTAATCGCAACTATATACTGTCTGAACAGGTAGGTGTTCCAAAAATTGCTCTAGCTGTGTCAGGAACGAGAATGAGTCATATTCAAAGTAAATGAAATAGAATGAACAACCATTTGTAACTCTGCTAATTGAAAGTTCTTAACATCTAATTGTTATCTTCATGGTATGAATTTCAGTTTAATCTTACACTTAAAAAATGTTAATCATTAGTAAGTACTTATGTCATCATTGATGAAAGATATAGATAATGCGAATCTTGAACGCGCTTCGAGTTCCAAGAATTGGTGAGGATGACTGCGCGATTGCTATACATATGAACAAAATCTGCAACCACTAACCGAGCATTTCGGAAAATAAAAATGAAAGAAGCTAACACAGTGCTGCGTTTACTACTTGGCAAAAGAGGCACGTCTAGGGCCCGCTTGGTTGGAGCTATTTGCTATTATTTTAAAAACTTATAAGAATATTAATAAGCTTACAAATATTGAAATTAGAAAACAAAAATTTATAATTGTTTAAAATAATTTAATAGCTACTAACTTTTCATTTTTATGAAATTTTTTTTATAATTTCAAGTCATAATAATATAAATTCTGGTTTGTATAAGAAGGACCTATTTTCATTTATATGCGTACGAGAAGTTCTAGATGCGGCCTTACTAATGCTTATTAATCTGCTTTTTTTCGCACACATTGGACTTGCAATATTTTTATATATTTTGTTCGAGGGACTTCATACAAAATGCATACGAGGTATATACAAGATAAATGTAATAAATATTAAAAATTTTATATTTTTTAATTACTATATTGATTAATGTACCTAGCAACTTTTGAATTTATTATTCAGTAATTGATGCTTTTTTTTAAAGAAAATATTCCAGTTGTAATGGCGACAATTTTGTGAACTATTAAAGGAATTGAATTAGTTTTTTATAGTTCAGTATTGAAAAGTGATATTCAATTTCTAAAATGTCGATAACGTTCGGTTCTCATCATTAAGTATTTTCGTATCCAATTTTTTAAATATTATCAATTGACAAACTTTCAAATACTTCCAAATAATTTCAAATACTACAAACTTTTAGGTTCATAAACTTTCAAAATTACAAATTCTCAAATTTAGAAATTAAAAAGTTTCTATCTTTACAGATCCAGAAACTTTTCAATTCACAACTTTTCAAATATATTAATTTTTAAAACTAAAAATTTAGGAATTCTCAGAATTAAACATTTTCAAAATCTTTCAAATAATATAAAATACTAGAAATTTTTCATAAATTTTCAAAGTTACAAATTCTCAAATTCAGAAATTAAAGTTTTCAACTTTCCAAATTACAAATTTTTCAATTTACAAATTTACAATTTGTAAAATTGAAGAAATTACAAATTCTCAAATTGTTAAAAAGGTCACCAAAGTCTCAAATTTACAAACCTTTAAGTTTGAAATGGGAAAACCTTTTCCTGTATAGCTAAGTACTACAGGATCAGTTATAACAATATAACAGAAATCAACCACAGTCATTAGTACCCATCAGAGTAAAATGGGTGGGAAATCAGTAAGCCACCTTTTTCTCATAAAAGAGCAATAAACTGAACTGAACTCGTACCCATCACTACCATTTTTTAGGCGGGAAATTTGTTACATTCAAATCTTTGACATATTCCATTTAATTTTTCTTTATAAATAAAATTTATAAAGATTTCAATTTAAAAATTTGATTTCACAAAACCACTTGTGTTATAAATAAAATTTATAAAGATTTCAGTTTAAAAACTTGATTTCACAAAAACACTTATGTTATATTTCCAAGTAATAAGAAATTCATTATCAACTTTATTTGATATCGTTACGGTACCATAACCTGCTAGCTGAACTTGATAATGTCAATTCAGTAACGTTAGAATTATTTTCTATGATCATAAACCATAGTACAAAACTTTTTACTATAAGATATTAACAAAAACTTTTGAAAAATCATTCTCACTTTTTCTCTACTCAACCGATATCTATCATTCATCGATAAATAAATCGACAAGTAATTTTATTTCCTATATTTTTTCATTTAATTGTTATAAGATTTTATCTGCTATAATAGTATATATACTAAGATTTTTACGATGACATTTAATCATAATGTAAATTAAATTAAATTGTGTAAATGAAAGTATAAAAGAGTACATAATTATCGATAATAATTTCATAACCTCAACTGTTTCATCTCATTCTCGTTTCTGACACATTTCAAAACGAACAAGACGGAATCACGTAACATCTTTCTCTTTTACAAGGTCACAGACTAGTCTTGATATTTTCAAGAGAATACTCTATTATTGTTAACCCTAGAAAGACGTTACGTTGTATAACATATTTTTATTACACAAAATCATTTCTTCCATACTAATTTCGAAATATGTTGAAGTGAAAGTAAATGTTTTAAAAGTTTGGAAGAAAATATTTTCTATTTTGTGGAGTAGCTTCTTAGTATTTCTAGGATTAATTCTATAAATATTATTTCAAATTCCTTTTCTTGAAGTAGTAATATAGTTTGTTGCAAAAATTAAGCCTTTTTTGTCGGTACAATTTGTTCCAGAAGTACAGGTACCCAGTGTCGTACATGTAATTCAATCACCCGCGAGTGTCCCACAACCGACTCAACCTTATCCAAGTACTACGAATGCGACAAGTTCAGCAGGTGATTATTATAAATGTTAATGTTTCGTTATTACTTCATACAGTGTTTTTACTCTTCCAAGGAAACTAATACATATTTTACATACATTTCATAATGCACTGCCGTGAGTACAATCAAGATCGTAGGTAGTCTGCATGATAGACTTCGTTGTGGAAAATAGTTGTATAGGGAAATATGACCCTAAGTCGGTAACTGTTTGATGAATTTTTCAATTTAGAAATGAACCAATTTGGGGTTTGGAAATTTGTGAATTTGAGAATTTATAGATTTTAAAGGGAATTGGAAAGTTTAATAATATGGAAATTTCAAAAACTTCGAATTTCAAAAATCTAGAAACTTGAAAATCTAGATTTTGGGATTTTTTAATTTAGGAAATTGAGAATTTTTACTTTTGGAAATTTGAGAATTTGGAAAGGTGGTATAGAAATTTCGAAAATTTGAGATTTGGAAATTTTGAAACTTAGAAATCTAGGAATTTCGGGATTAGGGAATGTTAATTTTTGAAAATTTGTTAATTTAGGAATTTGGAAATGTAAAAATTAGTCATTGGGAATTTGGGTTTTGAAAATTTGGGAATTTGAGAATTTATGTTTTGAAAATTAGGGAATTTGAGAATTTGGGTTTTGAAAATTTGGGAATTTGAGAATTTATGTTTTGAAAATTTGGAAATTCGAGAATTTGGTTTTGAAAATTAGGGAATTTGAAAATTTGGGAATTTGAGAATTTAAATTTTGAAAATTTAGGAATTTGAGTTTCTGCAAGTTTGGGAATGTGTAAATTCAAGAATTTGACAATTTGGAAATATGGAAATTTCGAATCTTTAAAACTTGGAAATCTAGGAATTTCAGGTTTTGAAAATTGGTAATTTTTAAATTTAAAAATTAGAGAATTTTTACACTTGGATTTGGGAATTTGGACATCTAAAAACTTTAGTTAAAAATTTTGGTAATTTAAAATTAGAGAACTTAGAAAATTGAGGTTAATGAAATTTTAAAATATAATAATTTTAGAATTTACAAATTTAGAAATATTAAAATTTAAAGGTTTAAGTATTAGAATTTTGGATTTTGAAAACTTGGTAATTTAGTGATTAACAAATTTAAGAATACTCAAATGCAAAAATTCAAATTTTTTTATAAATGTAGGAATTTTAATATTTGAGAATTTGGAAATCCAGGAATGTAAACATTAAATCAAAAGCATTGATCAATATAGTTTATTAAATAATTCACATATAATTATGTTTGATTAGTGAAATTAGAACAAATGTATTAACATTATTATCTTTTTCAGGTATGTCGCAACCGCCACCGTATTCGGAAGTTGTTTACGAAAAACAAGCACCGTACAATCCAAGTTACGTTACTTCAAACCAACCGTAACAATGTTAAATGATATTGATCGTTTAAGAAAGTTCCAATACAATTATACTGTTGTTCTCTTTTTCCTAACGGTGCCTGCATTTTTGAGCTTTCATTAGGAAGTGCGCCCATTAAAAATATACGTCTTCCGTTCGATGTATATTGAAAACACGAAAATATATCTTCATACATCATTTCTTACATAGTGACGAAAAAGGCACATTATGCTCAAATTTTAACTTTATTCAAATTAGAAAATCGTTTTCTATGAATATAAATCAAAGATCGTCGTTAGTACTGCTAAAGTATACCTAGAGAAGTAGTACGTTTATACACTTTTTCTATTGTGTGAATTCTTTGGATTTATATAAACTTTTTTTTAAACAGATTTTAATAGAGAACTCGGTTCAACTTTTTACTCGAATTATATACTCAGTGTCAAAATAAAATCGTTGCCATATAGTTTTTATAAAATTAAAACTCTTTTTATATTTGAAAATATGTATAGTGTTCAAAAAAAGTAAACCCGAAACAGTCAATTTACAAAAAGAATCACTATAATATCGATGGTTACAGTATATTACTGAATTTATATACACTTATTGAGTTATATATGAAATTATACATGCTTTTGAATTAGTATAAATAAATATAAGAATGTTGTATCTGAACTCTTCTACTTGTAAAAACCCCTGATATTTTTTTATACGTTATTTAAAAATATGCTGCCACGATGCTGTGCCACTTTTAACAGTTAAGTAAATAAATTTTATAAACCACATGACTTATGGGAAAATATATATTTCTGAATATCTATGTTACAGTATGCATGTATGTATGTATATAAACAGTTTGTTATTACTGTTTCACAATTTTTATATAAATTATTTAATGCAGTAGCAAAACTGCATTTTATGATTGATCGGCTACTGGATGAAAGGAGATTGTGTAATTTTATTAACAGAAAATTTTTTAACATATCTTATATAACATGAAACATTTTTCCTCGATTGTAAAAACTGTGAAACAATTAATCTACAATTATTTTTACTTAGATGTGAGATTTTTTTATCAATTATCCGTTGCCAATAACAGGTTTACATTAATTTTACATTAAATACTTACAAATAATTTTGATTATTGTTGTTTTGACTGTTTGTGATGAGTTAAAAGGGTTTTCAATATTTATGTTTTAAAATTATAATACAGTATTAGTGTCTTCTTTACAATGTATGTATCAATTCGAGTTGGAGAGGACTCAGTAAATACAATTATGATTAGTGATTAATTATAAGATATATTATTGCCTACAGAAAACATAAAATAAATATCATTTCCATCTTTTTATAAATAAAATATTGCATACATCTGTATATTGGTCTATTTCTATTCTTTAGTAAAACTTACACAATTAAAAAATATAATATCATTCTAGTATTATTATTTACTCTAATAAAATTTGAATTTATAAATTAAATACTAAAATTGTTTTTTCAATTTTTCCTAATATAAATCCACTATTTTCCTTTCCCAATTTATTTTATGAAATTTAGTGTCTTCCGTCAGAATGATTAGTTCTTAAACAATACAGACAACCACTAAACTGTACTGCATTTATTTACAATTCGCGTTGAATCGAAGTATCGGTTCTTAATTCGTTCGTTAAAAAATGTATATTATACAAATTACAATTCATTAAACGGTATTCATATTTGTATGTATATTATTTGACACACCAGTTCTTTCAATAGAAAATCAACATCTATAATAATATCAATCATAGAGTTAGATAGAGTTACATCAAGTTTATACAGTAGTTTCTTTTTAATTTGATTATAAAAAATTCAGTTCTTTTTCTATGTAAAAGAAACTTGGATTACAGGACGGTCATTTTGTTTAGCGCACTACACTATTCAAACACGCAATTTTATCAGTGTTAATTTCGCATAACTCTTCTGAAGAATATGATTTATATTGGAACAGATGACAGTTAGTGCAGGTTATTTTTTGTAATATAGTCACAATTCAGTCAATATGATACCGTAATACATAAAATATTGGGGTGCGACATTTTTTTTCATTTTCACCACAAGTAAGTTCAGAATCTGCTAACACCAATTGCATATATGTCAATATTTATTATTTAATACATATTGTCTATAAGTATAGGAAGAAGTGGTATCAGTCACGTATTGCAGTATCATCAAACTGTTTCTTGTTCAGAAATTGCTTGCTCGTTATTAGAATGATTCTAAAAATATTTCAACAATGTTCTTTCTACAATTTTAATAACATATTTACAGGCGTAGAAATTAGGGATGTACGGATAACCGACTTATGAGCTACCCGTTCATCTCTAGTAGAAATGTTTAAAAAATGAGAAATATTAATTTTGTAATATTTGTTTCTTATACCTTAAAATTTTTAAAGATATTACTGTGTACATAATTATGGTACAACGATCAACTAATATATTTGATATCACGATTGAAAATATGAAAATTATCAGTTTCCTTTGTCTCGCGTGTATAATTTATCTCTCTAACAGTGGGGTTTGATTCTAATTACACCTATCTGACGTATTACTTTAAGAGACACTTAATATCAAATAGTAATTTGACAAGTTTCATTTTCAGCTAATAGTATTAAAACGAGTTCCATAAAAAGCTGAAAAATCCTAGAAAAATCTTTGTACCTACTCAACAACAGAATAATACAATATGATATATTTAAATCTCATGAAGACAGCATTGTTTTAGGAGATTACACACGTGGACTGTGAAGTAGAATTTTCCACAGTATTGAGATTGCTATAATTACCTCGGAAAGTCTGTTCGGCATTTAAAGATAATTCGTGTGATCGTTCCTCTTCTAAAGGAGTAGTTGCTGAAGTATGACTAATGGACGAATGTCGCGATCGAGATAAATTTCCTCGTTGATTACTATTAGCAGATGGAGCTGGACTGGGAGAAGGACTTTCTGTTATCTGCTCTTGTTCTTGTTGTTGCTTAGTTATAATTAATCTATTCAACAACGAAATTTGACCCTGAATTCCTGACATGAATGGTCTGTATCCCAAACTGAAATCCAGATATAGTTTTGTTCGTTATTTTACACAGCCCTTATTTCATTCACTCTAAAATAATTATTGTATTTTTTAACACGTACCATTCGGAGTGAGACCATTTGGTTAAAGTAAGAAGACCATCTCTTAAATTAATTACGGAATCAAACGTTTGCATGGGGGCATGTGCAGCTCTAATGATTCTAGCCATAGCAGGTGCATCGCATAAAACTGTTGCTAGTACAGCAGCCCATCCTAAGCAACCACCTTCCAAAAACAATTGTAAGAGATATCTAAGTTGCACTTCTGCACGACTTATCGGTGCACAGGGAGAAGCGTTATGGACTTCTGTTTGTTCCACTGGTTCTGGTGAAACCCAACACACTGTTCCTACTCCAGTTCCAACGATGGATTCAGTATCATCTCTCCAAATAGTACTGCTATCGCTGAGAATACTATTGGCATCTGAAAATATAATAACAGAATAAATCCAAAACCCCTAAGTGAGACAGCGAAATGCTTATTTTTACATTTTCAATTAATGTAATCAATAATATTTTTTAATAAATACCATGCAACATGTTGGTAGTTAATTTTGTTTCAACAGCAGGGAACTGTGTTTCTAAACTTGCGACAGGAGAGACCAATGTAGTGTAAGGTGGTCTTCCACTGGGTAAACTAGTATAACCGCTATCTGGTAAATCAATGGCAAAATGAGATTGCACTTGTTCATCTTCTGGGCTTTCTAGACTGATTGATTTTATGGAACGTAGAGACGTAAGGCTAGATCTTCGATACTTTTGTAAAGTTGGTAGAGATAACACAGGATAAGCAAATGCAAAATCTTCGTGCACTGCTTTCAACGCAGCAATATAATCATCTATCTTTGCCGCTCTATCGCGTTCCCTTCCAAACCACGTAACTAAATGAAAATCTAGTCGAGCAGCAAATCTGCCTAAATCAGCAAGTCTTTTTGCCGAGAGTAATCGACGAGCGTGACGTTGTAGTATTACGTCAATGAAAAATTCTTCAGCCGAACCCTCTCTGCAAAAAATATCTCATTTTAATTATAATAATATTATTTTAATAATTCTGGTAAAAGGTAACTTAAACTTACTTGCTGTCGGGTTTTTCGATTTTAGAAGGGTTTGTGGGTACAGACTTTTTTCGTCTCATAACTACATTTCTAGTTTTTTCTAGCATTGAAGAAGGAGCTATATCTTTGGCCACTGAATCAGATTGTACTTTAGGCGTCACTGTAGTACTGTAACTTCGACTTCGTGAAACTTGCATGGTTCCTAACACTAACGACAAGTCATCTTCGTGAGGTGAAAGCGGTGGTGTTTGAGGAGGTCCTCCCAATTTTGACGTTCCACCCCAAGATGTCCTCGGCGATTCCACATCATTTGGATCTTATGAAGGAGAAAATATATTAAAAAACAGACAAGTAAAAGTGACATGTATATTCAATATATTATTTTATGTTACCAATTGCTCTAAGAAAACGGACGAGATCCTTTGATAATTCCCATCTTCCTTGTTCTAGAGCTGCATCTAATAATAAAGTAGCATGCTGCCGACTAACGGAAGAGGGTTCTAAATTCTGCAAAATTATTAAGTAACTAGCAGCAGTATCAAGCTGCTGACGTTGTAAACAATCTTGCAACAACTTCTTCGGCGGTCCAGCAACAGAAAATAAGTAAGGCCAAAGTGCTATTTCAGTCTTTCTAGCGCACTGCACAACTGCTCTAGCCCACACTCCTGGAAATTCGCGGATGAATTCCACCACAGAAGGCAGCTGAGCATCTGGAATTGGTTCTTTGCTAGTTGCTTCTTCTTCTAGTACCTCATGTAATAAAAGTTCTAACGAATGAGGAAAGTATGGCAGTGCAGAGCATGAACGAGCTATTTCCCAAGCATGATACCCTAAATTACGGTGAATTAGTTGCCGTAATATTTGATGAAGATACACTTGACTCTGAAATTGACACAATATAAATTTTAAATAACTCTAGTGTAAGATGTACTTAAATGATACAAAGAAATTATTGATATACTTACTGTGAGTTCTAACAAACTAAATGGCAATGAAAATGGAGAATTAGTATCTGATGTAAAAAGTACGGTATCATTTTCTGCTCCTAACAAAATAGCATCCTCAAACAGTATAGCTAGGGGATAAATGCGTAAATGAAAAGGCA